CTCTTTATTTTGGGGCAACTGAAGCGGCCCAGCACCAGAGGGGGAAGGCTGGGGGGTTGTCTGGGTTTTCCTCACTATTTCCCATATATGGTCATTATTTCGGGGCAAAACCTCACCAGAACCTTGAAACTCATCTTCAAGTCACTTCCATCTGTATTAGAACTTCACTGGGGGGAAAAAAAGTGTCCCCAAATTTCCCCAGGGGTGAGGAAATTCTTCCACAGGGGACGGTGGAAATTTTGTACTATGAGGTTCCCACAATGCACCCCTGGGGGCCCAGTTTTTTTCCTACTGCGCCACCCCCCACCAGACCCATTTCTACATCTAGGTTTATCACCTTTTTTCCCCGTGAGATTGAGGCCCCTTGAATTTTTGCGTATAGTCGCCAAAAAACCCCCCCGTAAGACTACTAGTACGACGAAAAAACCCCCAAAGGGTTAATACCCAATGTGTAAACCTATAGTAAGGGTTGGGGGGGAGGATAAGAGGACCCCTTTAATCTGCTTGGAAAAACTGTGGCCAGAAAGTGTAGACCCAAAGGGGTTTTGAAAGGGTTTGAGGCAAACCCCGGGAATTTCCCTTTCGTTGAGGAATCCATTGTGGGGTTGGGGAAAGCCTTGGGGTTTGGGGGTTAGTGGGGATGATGTGGAGAGTTGGTGGGGAGGACAATAAAGAACTAACCATGTGACGCTAATCATCTTTTATCAGCATGAGGCCACACCCAGGAAACTTTTGGAGGAGGGGAGAGGAAATTGAAGAAGTTGCCTACTTCAAAGATTAACGAAAATGGGTGCAAAATGGGTTAAAGTCAAACCTTTTTTGATACAATCACCCTAAACAGCTATTGCAAAAACCTGTGGGACTATTACACGACAATGTTTGAACCATTTAGGAAGTATAAAGGAAGGGGGTGACAAAGGCCCCTTTTGGACAGTATGTGTGCGACAGAAGTCCCAGGACTTGAAGCTTGTCCTATGGCATTAAAGAAGAAGGGAAGTAACCCCGGGAAAAGGGCTGACACCTCAAGTCTTAATGGAAGGGGGATTCCCCTTTTAAACACAAACTCTCTCCTCCTCCCATCCCATCAATCATCACCAGATCTTCAATAAAGGTAAGTGTCATGTAACTGTGCATGTCTTTTTCAGTTTGTGTGTATTAAAATTAATATTTCATGTGGTAAAATTTTTTTTTTCATACTTTGGGGTGTCTTGCACGGATTAATTTGATTTCCATTATTTCTTATGGGGAAAATTCATTCGCATAACGATAATTTCGCATAACAATGAGCTCTCAGGAACGGATTAATATCGTTATGCGGGGGTCCACTGTACTTGCAAATTCACACTGAGATTCTGTAATTACAATAATGAGTTGCATTGCAAAGAGAGCCACTATCATGCCATGGCATTATGGGCAGACTATATTAATGGCTTAGACTACTTAATACTAGAGAAATTGATCATAGTTTAAGTTGTACATCTGTTTATATTTAAAGCAGACAGTAAGTTTACTCAAGTTACAATCTGGGGATATTACATTGGGACAATCTGAAAGTATTTTGTAGGCTGTGTATATCAATAGTAAATATTTAAGTTATAGGAATATAATATTGAGCATTGGTTTAAGTAGATTACAGTATGAGAATGATACAATATGGTGTAAGGCAGTATAATTTTGTGCAGGTATTTATACTACATATAGGTAGTAGGTTGGTAGACAGCAACCGCCCAGGGAGGTACTACCGTCCTGCCAAGTGAGTGTAAAACGAAAGCCTGTAATTGTTTTACATGATGGTAGGATTGCTGGTGTCCTTTTTTCTGTCTCATGAACATGCAAGATTTCAGGTACGTCTTGCTACTTCTACTTACACTTAGGTCACACTACACATACATGTACAAGCACATATATACACACCCCTCTGGGTTTTCTTCTATTTTCTTTCTAGTTCTTATTCTTGTTTATTTCCTCTTATCTCCATGGGGAAGTGGAACAGAATTCTTCCTCTGTAAGCCATGCGTGTTGTAAGAGGCGACTAAAATGCCGGGAGCAAGGGGCTAGTAACCTCTTCTCCTGTATATATTACTAAATGTAAAAGGAGAAACTTTCGTTTTTCCTTTTGGGCCACCCCGCCTCGGTGGGATACGGCCGGTGTGTTGAAAAAGAAAGAAAGATTTATACTACAATGCAGTATTAAGTTATGTATGAACTTTGGGTATCTAAATTTTGAAGTGTTAAGATTTAGGTAGCTGGGAGATCTTTTGGCAAATTTAAGTACTGAGTATTGAATATATTTAGTTTAGGGTGAGTAGATAGTTTTTGAGAAGAGTCTTGATGTTCAGACCTTGTTACTTTAGTATTTACTGGTAATGAATTCCAGATTTTGGGGCCCTTTATGTGCATAGAGTTCTTACATAGTGTGATGGGGACACAGGGTACATCAAAAAGTGATCTGTGTCTTGTGTTACGGTCGTGCGTCCTGTTAAGGTTGGCAAGGAGAAATTTGAGTGAAGGGTTTGAGTGTACGAATCAGTCTACAGAATTAGGCTATTTCCAACTATACTTTGACAAGCCTATAATGAACTCGATTGTCACCCAGATGAACAATTACTACCACTATATAATGGACAACACAGAGGTTGCAGAATCGTCAAGGCTGTGCAAATGGAAACATACAACTGTGGCCAAAATGTATATATTCCTTGGCACTGTCATGCTTATGCCTCATACGTATAAGCACAATACAGCATAGTACTGGTCCACAGACCATTTCCTCAGTACTCCAGTCTTCCATGACCCCCTCCCCTGCAACAGATTCACTCTATTGCTATGAATGTTGCCCTTCTCAGACAGGAATATACCCAACAGAAATGACCTACTATACAAAATCCGGGAAGTGTTTATGTATCTGAAGCAAAAATTCAGTGCCTACTTTTATCCATTTAAGAACACTGTTGTCAATGAGTCCCTGATTCTGTTCAAGAGATGACTCGTTCCAATAATATACGTATACCAAGCAAACGTAATCACTTTGGTATAAAACTCTTGTGTGTGAATGAGACCAGTGTTGTGTTGGATGTCATTATCTACACAGGGAAAAATACACTCAATGATACCAGGAAGATGTTGTTCATTCCGGTGACGCTGCTCACATGATGATGGAGCCATACCTTGGCAAGGGTCATACATTGTTCACAGACAACTGGTATACAAGCCCTATACTTGCTGATTTCCTCTGTGTGAACAATAGTGATATATGTGGAACAGTGAAAAGAAATAGAAACCACATGCCAAGGTTCACTAGATAAGGGGGATTACCAACAGACCCCTGGCTGTCTTCAAGAAGGCAATGGACAGGCACCAGAGCCTGACCAGCCAGGCTCTGGTTCATACGTTGGGTTGTGTGTGGCCTACAGTAACAGCAGGTTGATCAGGCCCTGATCCACCATGAGGCCTGGTCGCAGACCGAGCAGCAGGGGCACTGACCCCCGAAAGTCTCTCCAGGTATACTCTATGTAGTGCAATAGTTTCATGCCAATGACATCATGGCACTGACGTGGCATGACAAATGGGATGTGACGTTGCTGTGAACCATCCACAGAAATGAGATGGTACAGAGTGAACAGGGATACCAATGAACTTATTGTAAAGCCAGCTGCTATCAACTATGCGAACAATATGCGACTAGTCAACAAGTGTGACGTGCAAATAGGGTTTGTTGATTGTGTGTAGAAGTCACAATTGGTACATGAAAGTGTTTTTCCACCTTATAGACATTGCAATGCTCAATGCCTTTAACATGTACAAAATAAAGACTGGAAAATGACTTTGTCATGCAGAATTCACCCTCAGTGTCTTAAAACAGAGTAAAAAAAGTATAATACCACCCCTGTACCTGCCCCTCAACAGCGACCTGTCCACCAGCCACAACCACAGAGGAAAGTGCTAGAGCAAATACTATCACTACCTAATACAGATACCATTTACCCCAAAATAGAAGTATTCTCAGAAAAGGTGTGTTGCATGTGCTAACACCAAAAGATGACCCCAACAGCGGAAGGACATACAATACATATGTCAGCAATGTGAGGTGGCACTCGGTATGAATCCAAGCTTTATGGAATATCATACAACTCTGGAGTTCTAGAAACATAACTGGGACCTGTAAATACCTTGTATATATTTGTAGACAATAGTATATGATTGAGGTAGGTGTACAAATTCATTTATCAGTGTGAACATGTGTGTTTTTGACATTATAATTACTAATTCCATACCAAACATTTATTTCAACAACAATTAGCTATGAAATCAAAAGATCTACTACAAAACATAATTATCATAATATATAAATTACATACAAAAATTATAACTGAAAAAAAAAAAAAAAAAGATATTTTTAACATTTCTGCAAGCAGCAGCACTCCTTGTTGCCATCACCTGAGCATTCAGTGCCAACTTAATGACCTTACATCTCAGTAAGTACTGACCCTAATTTTTATCTTATTATGCATAGAATATTGCCCTCTTTATTTAAAAAAAAAAATAAAAATATTTAGAGCGCTGTCAGTGAAAGACGTAGATCTACGTTTGGACAGTTTAAGGATTAATTTAAGGGGGCCCCGACAGTGAAAGGGTTAAGGACAAAACACCTTGAAATAGCACTCTGATCCACAGCTCTGCTACCAGAGGACATACCTTCTACAGTATCAGACAATCACTGAACTAGACGACCATATTTTTAAAATACCAAAACTCTCTAATTTTCTGATTTTTCTTAAATACAAAATTTTGGATTTATGTTGCTCTATTGTAGTTACATAAACGAGCCAGTTTGGAGATCTACTGCCTCCATTTGTTTACTTCCAAGATTTGTTGACATCTTTCACACATGCCTTTCTTAAGATAGAAAATATATTAAGATTCTAATGAACAATGCAGGATTGTACTGTATTTCAAGTCTTAACTCTGATTATTTTGTACTGATATTGAAAGTTACTGACCTCATAATCATCACTGAAGCAGGTTTCAATGCACATGCCTCTGGAATTGAAGTGATGACAAGCATAGCAACTCGAAGAATCTTTAGGCAATTTACAACCTCCAGCACATTCATTATGGCAACACTCTCCATTGGGGGTACAACCTTTAGTACATTTTGCTTCACAGACTGGGAAAAAGGAGCAAAGAAAGAGTAAAACAGATTATATGTGCAAATAATACATATTAGTTTGTACTATTTGATGTTGGGATAATTATACCTTGACAAGATATCTAGTTAAGTAAGATAATTTAGAGCTAAGAAATAGTGCATTTATATAACCAGCAACTTTATGCAGTCACTCTTAAACCCTTCACCATCTCATATGTAAATCTACGTTATTAATGTCAAAGTCACTTACATTTTGAGTTCAGCTTTCTCAGATAAGCTGTGAATGGTAAATTAGGGCATAATGATATTGATAATTTCAGAATATTACAATGTTTGTACAAAGGAGAATGACATTTGTGTGTACATGCTAAAAGCCCCTTTATATGCAGAGCACTTTGGCCGAACTTAAGACTAACTTAGGATTAATAAGACTATAACAATAAAGCATAAATTTAGGAGTGTACAATGAATACAAGAGAATCAAATATTCTACAAGTTCATGCTATATGACTAATAAGTTTAACAGCTAGAGATTACGGGTTTGATTATTAACCTAAAGCGGACACAATGGAATTATTAACATTTGAGAGGATTACAGATATTGAGAGGAAGTATATGTTGATTATAACGTTTTACCTATGTTTGTGACATTGAGCAAATGCATGTATAATTTTTACATATTTAGGTGGGGCTGGGACAGGTTTTGAAGATAAGTGTTTTTTAATGGTAGTTTTGAAAATGCTCGCCAAGTCAGTGGTTCTGGAGATTTTTGGCAGTGTTTTCCAGATTTTGGGCCCTTTTATGTACAAAGAACTTTTGAAGAGATTTAGCTGGACATGGGGAATGTCAGAGATTTTTGTGCCTAGTATAATGTTTCTGTCATCAGCAAAGACATCGATGACACTGTGCTCTTGGGAGATTCTGAAGAGAAGTTGCAGAGGTTGGTGGATGAATTTGGTAGGGTATGTAAAAGAAAAAAATTAAAAGTGAATACAGGAAAGAGTAAGGTTATGAGGATAACAGAAAGATTAGGTGATGAAAGATTGGATATCAGATTGGAGGGAGAGAGTATGGAGGAGGTGAGTGTATTCAGATATTTGGAGTGGACATGTCAGCAGATGGATCTATGAAAGATGAGATGAATCATAGAATTGATGAGGGTAAAAGGGTGAGTGGTGCACTTAGGAGTCTGTGGAGACAAAGAACTTTGTCCTTTGAGGCAGAGGCTCTTATATGGGTGTGAAGCATGGGTGATGAATGTTGCAGCGAGGAGAAGGCTGGAAGCAGTGGAGATGTCATGTCTGAGGGCAATGTGTGGTGTGAATATAATGCAGAGAATTCGTAGTTTGGAAGTTAGGAGGAGGTGCGGGATTACCAAAACTGTTGTCCAGAGGGCTGAGGAAGGGTTGTTGAGGTGGTTCGGACACGTAGAGAGAATGGAGCAAAACAGAATGACTTCAAGAGTGCATCAGTCTGTAGTGGAAGGAAGGCGGGGTAGGGGTCGGCCTAGGAAAGGCTGGAGGGACGGGGTAAAGGAGGTTTTGTGTGCGAGGGGCTTGGACTTCCAGCGAGCATGCGTGAGCATGTCTGAAAGGAGTGAATGGAGACAAATGGTTTTCAATACTTGATGTGCTATTGGAGTGTGAGCAAAGTAACATTTATGAAGGGATTCAGGGAAACCGGCAGGCCGGACTTGAGCCCTGGAGATGAGAAGTACAGTGCCTGCACTCTGAAGGAGGGGCGTTAATGTCAACTGTATCAAAAGATTTAAGTATATCAATGAAGATTCCCAATGGGACTTCTTTTTTCTTGAGTGCAGTGTATATTAGTTCTAGCATGTGTACAATAGCATCATTTGTGTTTTTATCTGGACTGAACCCAAACTGACAGGGGTTGAGTATGTTGTGGGAGATGAGGTAGGAATAGATCTGCCTATGAATTAATTTTTCAAAGGTTTTAGAGAAGGGGTAGGTTAGATATTGGCCTATAGTTATTCAGGTCTGTTTGATCTCCTCCTTTATGTTTCGAGGTGACCCTCGCTATTTTGAGAATTGAGGGAAAGGGAGAGGATTTGATGGATTTGTAAAAGAGTGTTGCAACAATTGGTGACAGCACTTGAGAAGCTTTTTGGTATATAAAAGGTGGTAAGTTATACAAATCTCCTACCTTGTTCTTTAGTGTGTTGATAATAAGTGAGACTTCTGTTGGGTTGGTCGGAGCTAGGAATAGTGTGTTCAGGTAGGTGCCAGTGAGGTAGTCATTAGGTGGGGTGTCTGAGCTAGGGATTTTGCTCGCCAAGTTTTTTTTCCTATGGTGGAGAAGAAAACATCGAGTCTGTTTGCTGTTTCAGTCAGTGGGAGTAGGGGTTCATCTGGTTTTGTTAGTTTGATTGTTCTGTTTCCTGATAACTTTTTAGTTCCTAGAATTTCAGATAGGGTTTTCCAGGCCTTTTTCATATCACCTTACAAGTAATCTGTTCTCATAATACAATTTTTTTATCCTCCTTATCAGGCTGGTTAGGATTGACGAGTAATGTTTTGTTTGGTCTCTGGTTATTTGGCCCATTCTGTACTGTTATTCATATAGAAGCTTTATATTTATGGATCTGAGGATGCTGGGTGTTAGCCAGGGACCATTCAGTCTCTTAGCTGTGATCTGTTTAGATTTTTAGGGCAATGCATGTCATAGAGGTGTTGGGTCTTTTTTAGAAAATTATTAATACATTCATCAGTATCTGTGTAGATTTCTAGCTCGGTTTGCCAGTCGATGTTTGTCATTGCTGTTGTGAAGTTATTAATAGCCGTCTCATTATGAAGTCTGAAGGTAACTTTACAAGGGTCTTGGGGTAATTTACCTCGACTGGTTATGAAAAAGGTAGGGTAGTGGTCTGTGGTGTTATCTGTGATTATGCCTAATTTTAAAGGGAATATGGTGTTGGTCCACATGTGGTCTAATAAGGAAACACTAATCTCCAAGATTGAACGATGAACAATCATAATACACATGAAAACATCATAAAATACTGTACCAGTGCCAGCCCTTTGGTAAAGAAGGTGAAAAAAACTATAGAATTCAAGGAAGAACTTTTAGCAGAGTACCAAAGTGGAGGAGGGAGAGAGGGGAGAACGTGCTTTCCTTAGTGATTCAGTGATTCTACGATATGAACAATATTAAAGCAGCACGAGTCGATAAAGGATACAGCGCCAGCCAGTGATAACGTGTAGCATTAACAGTGTAGCAAGTAAGTAAAGCTATTAATCGACAGAAAAAGGACAGCACAAACCTAACTCCTCCAATGTTGTTGGAGTTATACAGGGCAACTGACAACACTGCCATCTCTACCGCCTCTGCTGGCACCTCCACCACTACTATGTATGGCTTATGCTCTCAGTGGCCCTTATACACCCAACAACAACACAGCAATACTCACGACATACTTAATGACTTATGGGGCTATAGGACCCAACATGTATTTATAAGTAACAGTTACTCTGGAATACCTAATTATATTGAATTGATGGGGACTTAGCTCTAAATGTCATAAGGGCAGATCACCCTTATGACTGAGAGGCAGCTGGGTCAAGCCTATTTTTCTCATTATAATAGGTTATACTATAGACACACAAACACACAATTTAAATAAGTAATTTATAAAGTTGTAATTCTTTCTGTAAAAGTAAAATTAAGGTGTGGTAGAAGTGTGGTAAATGGAGAATTGTGCTTGGCAACAGTCTTTTGTTGGTGTGGGAGGAGCTTAGCTAGGCTCCTCCCTCCCTCTTTCTCTCTCTCTCTCTGTTGGTGGACTCCAAGCTGGTAGGACCTCTGGGTCCTTCTTCAATTTCTTTTGGGCATTGTGTGTGCTCCAGGGGTGAGTTTTTATAACTTAAGTTGTGGCCACCATACCCAGGGTGACTAAAGTGTGTCAAAACACTGGTTAGCCCAGAGATTAGTCATGAAGAGACAAAGGCAAAGTCGCTGAGATGCACCATGTGGGATAACAGCTAAGGAGTGTGTCGACTTATGTTTTGAATATGTGAATGCTGTAATTGTATATTCTGTACATATCTATTTAGAATACAGTTATATTTTTATAGTAGTAGTTTAAATAACCTGTGAAGAGGGCTGGTGAAAGGATCAGAGACACTGAGGGTGATCAGTCATGATGTAAGTATTACCCCTAGACAGATAAGGCCATTAAATAAAAAGCTATCCCACACTAGAACATGTAGTGAGAACCTTACTATCAAAGTAATAAGGGACATACCAACATAACAATGACGTATTTTATTCATTCTAGAGTATATGTTGTTTCTATGCTATTAATATTGTTTATTATGTCATATTAGATGAATTGTGATAGATAAATAAGCCGTAGAGTTGATATTAGTGTCATATTGAAGGAATATCTTGTCGTATCTCCAAACAAACTCTGCCACCGCCAAAATTTCTAACATATGTAATGACGTATTTTAAATATGATTGGGTAGCTGGGAATTCATGAATGTTCGAAGCCCTTGAAAGTGGAAAACGTGAATGTTGAGGGAGACATGAAAAATTCAAAAAAAGGATAGCAAGCATAATACATGTATAGGAGAGGCCTGGGAACATAACTAATAAAAACAGGAAATGCTTTTTAGTGCCAGGAAAATATACACTGTTTATTCTGGACCCTATTTTAAAACTGACAATTTTTTGTGTGTTAAATTTGCTAAATTACCAATTTCCGATCACTTTATTGGGAAGTTGAAACAGGTAAATGGGTGGTTTCTCGTACTCAATCAAAAGAACAGAAGTAATACAAGTGAAATAGTTACGAGTTTGGTTGACCAGAACAATGGAATTGGCCAAAGTGGGCAAAATCGCTGATGCGTAAATATAGCAGAGATCACTAACTTTGCAAGAGCATAATTCCATAGGTTTTCCATCAAATTTCATACTTTCGGTTTCATTACCCTTGGAAATTGAGAAGAGAGGAATGCAGAGGAGAGAGAGAGATTTTGGGAGATGTTAAGTGAATG